CCAGCAAAACAGAGACTGAATAACTAAGGCAATGTTACAAACAAGAACTTCCCATTATGCCCAGCAACACAAGCACATAGCTTTGCTAAAGATACAACTGCAGTTTTCCCCACAGGAGGTATTACCAACTGAGACAAGCCTGCACAGCTTTTTGGGTGCCTGTCCTGTCCTGCCTGTGTAGGACTCACAGCAAAGTGAGAATTTGAGGAGGTGCTGAGGCACTGCAGCATCACATGCTCACAAGGGAGGTGTCCCTGCCTTGACGGGACTGTGGGGCTGCCATCCAAGCTAGAGCAGCACTGCTTGTATTCAGGGAGCAGCAAAGGTAATCACCCAAATTCAGCATTGCCTGACACTCCCTGGAGGAAATAAGGGCATGTCTGGCACCACCGAGAATCTGGGTCTCCATCTCAATCTGCATCACAGTAAAATAAGTGTGATTTACCAAAAAAAAAAAAAAATCCACAAAAAAACCCCACACTCAAACAAAAAACCAACCAAAATCAAAACAGTTAAGATCTAGAGAGCAGTGTAATATATGCCTTAACCAGTGCTAACCAGGACTGTAAATGAAGTCTAACAGTGAGATTTTTCACTGGGCTGGTTGAAATACGTGGAAAAATGTAAATGGAAATAAAAACCATTGCTGTCAGAAGACTTCAAAACTTCTTAACTTCATTTTGACTGAACACCTAACACAGTTTCAGAGAGCATAAATACAAATAGTTTGGACAGTAGGGTAAATATTCAGGGCTTTATTGACCTTTTCTCTAAAATAACTGAGTCTTTTCTGGTTTTGATTAAGATTTCTTCCCTTTTTTCCAACCTCCCCTGAGCAAATAAGCAAAAAGAAATCTTTTTTTCTCCTTTGTTTCCCCCTAGATTTTCCATGTTGATAAAAAGGGTATTTCTAAGTGAGACTGTTTTTGCATGAAGCTCTTTCTCCCCAGTCCAAACTTTTAGATAATGTGCCAGGCTATAAAGGGAGTCCCCAAATCCTGGCGTTTGATGACTTGGGAGGAAATCCCATATTTCCTGCTTAACGTCCATGCGATTTGGGATGGAGTCATAAAAGCAAACAGGAAGTTGTTCTAGTGATGACTACCTAGGGAGAAAGCCATATACAAGCATCTCTGAGGTGGCTGAGAGCTGAGAAAATCTCTGGCAGCTCCTGCCCACTCCTCCCACTCACTGCACCTCACTTGTGAGTGTTGTTTGTACAAGCAGAGCCAGCCTTGAGGAAAACAACTGGAAAACAGCTACAGTTCAGGGCTTTCCTTTAGCTCCTTAGTGTGCACACAGTTTTATGCTACATCCTCACACCAGAAAGATAAATCTAAATACAATAACCACACTGGATCTTCAGCAAAATATTTAACCAAACCTATCATGAACCCAACAACAATACTCAATAAATCATCTCTCCACCACAGCAGTGGAGTTGGGGGCTGGAGTACCTACAGATGACCCCATTAATTTAAACACAGGGAAATGAAGTATGCTCAAAATCAAGGGGAATTTTGTTGTTCCTACTTATTCTGTGTAAAGTTCTTTATAACCGTTTCCCTTTTTAGCATAATTTCAAATGCTAGCTTGCAAATGATGCAAATTAAGTGTTTCTTGGAATATAGCTTGCCTCCTAGAAGACTTAATAACATTTCCTTCAGATTGCCTCTTGGATAATGTTATGATGGAAAGATCCAGGGGCGCCTGCTCCTGAGACTGGACTCTACTGAGCACACACAATAAATCACTTAAAACACCACCATTCCTTCAGTCCTTGGAAGCAGCCGGCACTGAACTGCGCCTCTGCACAACATTATCCTGACGCTGTGCTGATGGGGGTTATGGCCAACTGGAAAACCACAGCTCGTCTCTCACTCCTTTCCTTTGATTCTCGACTTGTACTCGAGAAGCTGTTGTGCCCCTCAGAGCCGAAGCGCAGCAGAGCCGGCTAACGCAAATGACAGACGCTGTAATTACTGCTCCGCTGGCACTGCTGCCAAGATCGCTGCCTGCTAGACGTGAATACCTCCACTGGGTGGCTAACGAGATGTGCACTTCACAAACCAGCACAGCCCTCTCCCCACCCTAAAGGGAGGAAAGACAATGCCATTTCTTCCTAAAGGGACGTATAGACAGTTATGTGAAATGCATTGCATAGGCAAAGCATCCATGATTACACTTTTATTTCAGAGATAGCCTCCAGTAACTTGTTTTCAATGACAAATCAACAGTTTGAGAGTCACATGGAGACCAATCCTCTTAGATTAAATCACAGCAAACTGTTCACTAGTCCAAGCGATGCAAATTTACCCAGGAACTGCCTTTTGCACCAGCAATTCAAACATATTTTTCTGATGGGCTGGAAAAGTTATTTTCTTGCCTTTTGGTAGAAAAAGTATCCAGAACAGATTCCTTGAAAGCCCATCGACACAAAATCCAGAAAGAACCAGAAATCAAGAAATACAGCCATATACTATAAAGCAGGTTACTAAAACCAAGGTTGTTTTGCTGGTAGCATGACATAAATGTAGCTTGCTTTTTGAAGTATAACTCTCCTCTGTATTCTACTTATGCATAAAATTCCAGTCATATACTGTACAGAAATAGTCAGCTGTTGTACTTCTCAACCTGGGCTTCTCTTACTTTCCATAGGAACTGATTTGCTTCATATCCTATTCACCTGAACTGCGTAGGCTGTGCCTCAAAACACCTCTCTTCCATTTGCATAAAAATCAAGATATTTACATGGAAATGTCTAATAAATATAGCCCACATTTTGTCCTTTCCTACTGCACAGACCAGCTATGGAACTGATTTGCCTGGCCTTGGCACAGAGTTGTATTCCTGTTTTCAGATGTACTGTATTTGGAAAATTAAATTAGGAAAATCTTCTTAATTTGGTTAAGGCTGTTTCCTGTTTCTGAATTTAGATGTCATACACAAAGCTAGTCCCAAAATATAGTGAATAACTGGGGTTTAAGACCATTACCAAGGAAAATAAAGTTGTGTGGTGAATGATCCATGTAAAGTGATTAAGTGCAAACATGCACAACAACTGTGGAAATGTTTAGATGCACTCTGGCATTCTTACTGTACAGAGGGATAAATGACACTGACAGTAATTCTGAAGAGCCATCAGGAGGAGCGTGTATGTGATCTATATATTTTTCCATAAGTCTTGCAACCAGCTGCTAGAGCCTGGAGCCAGAGGAAGAAGAGCTCAGATCCTGACTCCCATGTTTCCAGGGAGGAATCTCTCCTCTATGTACAGATTCATCAACTTAATTTTAATCCCGCTTAAACTCCACCTCTGTCAGCAAAGGAAACACAGTGGCTGCTTTGCTTTCAGCAAAGAGTACTGCGGTACTAAAATGCTACTCAGAACAAGTACAGGCTACCACATCCAGCTCAAGCTTGCCAGCATCACTGAAATCTACCACAGTGCATCACTTTGAAACAGATTAATGCTCCAAAGAGCCTTATCCATTCACAACAAAATACTACTTGGCTCCTGCTTTATTATTACAAATATTACACCCGCATGATCAAGTACAAGAAGTCCACTGATGCATCAAGACAATTAAGTCCTTTCCCCGCTTTTTTTCAACAAGATGTGTTTAGGTATTTAATTAGGAAATGCATCCCCAAAAGGTTACTACCTATTCACATGTTATAGTTCACTTTTTCTGCACTAAGCATTTTCAAACTGCTGCTGTTGCTAATACAGACCATGCTGGGGCAAGACAAATATCTGCACATATGGCTCTTTTACAGTTTTCTTTTAAAATTATCACTTCGATTTAATTAGTTTGAGGGGTTAAGCATGAAAAATGCACTCTTTTATTGTAAGGGAATAAATGAAACACAACCTCATTAATACATAGTCCATTTAGCTTTTCTACCATCTTTTACACCATCGTTATTAACCCCAAAAGCTGTCTGAACCATGTTTGTCACTACAAATAGACAGCCTGACCCTCCCTTTCGTCCCAGCTACACAAGAAAGAGGTGGGAGCCACAGGACAAGTGGATAACAGTTTGGGAGGCAGGAAGTGTGGGGGCTGTAGGGGAGCACAACAGCTGAAACCCAGTCTCTGCTGACTGAAGAGCCAAAGGAAAAGTTGCTCTTATGGAGATGGCACCGAATGCCCAGCAGGGGCACAGTTTGGGGCATTTAAATTCTCATTCTGATGTAGCTTATCATAGAGGTATAGTAAATGCAGCGAATGCCAAGTCACAGTTGATTCTGGCTTGATAATCGCTCTGGCCCCATTCACACCGCTTTGAGAATTAAGGGCTGTCTCTACCATTGCAGCCATTTCCTGTTCTCTCCTGATAACAGCGGAAAAATACGCAGACAGCTTCAGATAAGAAGATAAGAAATACTCATAAAACAAAAAGTGTATTTAGGTCTGCTGAGAAGCTCACAGGAGGATGCCAAGATGCAGTGATAATGAATGTGCCAGAGAGTGAGGGGGAGCTGGTCCAACAGCCCCTCAGTTAATAAATTCATCTTCTACGAGGCTGTGGAAAAGGAAGGTAGGAAAGCACAAGTCCCAGGAATGCTGATGGCTTTCTCAGCCTGCTTCAAAAGCTAAAGATAGTTGGGGAATTGAGATGAAAGATGTATGTTTTTGATATGTATATATAGAATAGAGGGAAAACTTTGCCCGGTGCTATATGATGAGGAAACTTCCTGAAGAGGGCATAGTTAAACTGTTGATTCATTGCCTCACTGAAGCACTGAATACACACACACGAAGATCCCCACTGCACAAACCAATGAGAAAATCCCTCAGCTCTGGGAAAAATGCCAAAACCAGTTCTGCACCCAAATTCCCTGTCTGGTCCTAGCAATAAAAATAAAAATATAAATGAAAAAAAAAAAGTCCAAGACAAAGAGCTATATCCCAACCAGATTCCCTTGATTTTTCACTCTGTTGTGAAAAATCAAGGGAAGTGTGGAAGTTTATCTCACACTGGGGAGTGTTGCTGAAGAGCTCTCCGCCCCTCTCTGAGTGGGTGAGCACACCTGTGTTCTGTGGCAGGTCCCACACTGCGTTGTCCTTTGCAGGATAGGAACAGGGGCTCTGGCTCCTGTGCCCTCATAGCACTTCTGTCACACAGCGTTGTGTCACAGAGGGCAAGTGTGGGAAGGAGAAACCATCCGGGAGTGGGAGGCATGAGCCCTGTGGCACCGCGAGCAGCGCTCTGGAACAGCCGAACGCAGGGGGTCCTCTCTTCCCTGCTCAGGCCATCTGTCATGTGAAACTCCCGTGTCCTGCCAGCAGAGCCAGCAGGCTCCTTTCCACTCCGGGTCCAACTGTCTGAGGGGAGCTTTCTTCTCCAACACCCTCTGACATGTCATATCTCTCTCTATTGACACAGGCTGATACAAACCCCCTGACATGTAGGTCCACACACATATGGCACTACTTAAACCCCTAAATACAAAATATCAAACCTGTCTTACCATGAACAGGAAAACAACCAGTGAAAGGAAATTATATGGAAGACACAGATGAAGCATGCCATGATGCATAAGGGATTTTTGTGCTCTCATTCCCTGCTACTCCCTTTTCATGGCCAGATTTCTGATCTTCCTGTGAAATAAATGAGCAAGGGAATGTGACTCTGAGGGGATGGAGTGAGTATCAGCAGGAAACGGATTAGCACTGTTACATGTACAGACATGATGTTCAGTGCACCCAGCCCACCAGCGGCAAACCTACAGCTCCATGCCTGGGAGAACCCACAGAAAGCCTGCATGGGGCACCAGGAATCAGAACAACCATTGCTGTTCTCCTGTCAAAAAGGCCACAGAGGAGTGCACTTTGTAATGGCTGGGTGAGAGCACAGGGTCAGATCTGTGCAGTTTTCACAAATGCATCTCCACAGACATGATGTGGGGAAAATCAAGTATTCTTACAGTTGCATTATGCTAGTAACTTCAAATCAAAACTGTGGTGCATGTTATTACTTCGTGGCTACATACATGTGGAAAATAAACAAACAAAGAAGCTTCTAAAATTTCTTTTCTCTTGTTAATCATATAACTGAGATTTCCAACTGCTTTACCCAACCCCGCACATCTTTGCTATGTGCTGCTCTGCCCACATGCAGCAGCAAGCTCTCTTTCTCTCTCCTGTGTTCTACAAAAGCAACACATTTCCACATTAGGTCTAACTCCTGGAAAGAAAGAAGAGAAACACCGAGAAAGTTTGTCCAGCATCAGCTCGCAGGAGAAAAAGCCCCCTGCTGTGGCTGTCAGCCTGGTGGGTGCCACACTGAGCCAGGGCTCTTTGTGATGCTCTCAAACACCCCTAAACACGCACTGAGAAGCAATACATTGCCACTTAAAAGGGGAAATTTGTACAAGGGCTACCGGGAAGGCAGACCGAGATGTACTCCAGAATCCCCGACACGGGAAAGGAAACAAAATCTCAAAACATAAACACAGAAAGACGGTGACTCCCTTCGGGTGTATCATGTTTTTGGCAGGAAGAAGGAGAGCGTTGGGGGGCCTTCGGGGGTTCAAGGCTGACCGTCGATTGCAGAGCTCCAGGCTCTGGCTTTGCCGCTGGGAGGGACACCCGCCCCGCACCTGCCTTTCCCCGCACCTTGCCGGCCCTGCGGGGCGCACCGGCGGCTCTCCCGCCCCGGAGGGCTGCCGGCGGGGCTCCTTCAGCGCCAACTTCCCCGCCGCTCTCAGTGCCTCATTTGAGGACGGAGTGCAGGCAAACGCCTGTCCCGGCCAGGCTCGGCACCTACAGACTCGACCCGGCAGGTACGACCGGACCCTCCAGACCCCGGCGGGGATCGTGCATGCGGGCGATTGCACGGTTTGCACACACAAACGCAGTAAAAAAGATAATCATGGCATAAACTCGCATTTCCAACCCGCACAAGGAGGATGCCCCAACCCCTCTCCATCCATCCATGCATCCATCCATCACCTTACCTTGCGCCGCGGATCCGGGGCGGCTGGCCCCCAGGACGGCCAGGGCGGGGAGCACCACCGTCTGCAGCAGGTATCCCAGTCCCAGCCCGCAGCGGGCCGCTGTCCCCTCCAGCCCCTTCCCCATGGCCGGGGCAGCGGGGCAGTGTCGCGGAGCCGCGGAGCTTTGCTGTGCCGCCGGTGCCGGCCCCGTCCCAGCTCCGGGCGCGGAGCGGAGCCCCCGCCAGGCGCTCAGGCTGCGCGGAGGGCGGCGGGGCGCGGGGCTGCGCTCGGGCCGGGCGGGCAGAGGCGCTGCATGGCCCCGCGGAGGGGCGCGGAGCCGGCGGAGCGCTGCTTTCTTCCCGCGGGCGGCTCGGCGCGGCTGCCTCCACCCCGGGGGTGGGCGGGGGCCGGGGCCGGGGCCGGGGCTGGGGAGCGAGGGCTGCGCCGACCGCCTGCGATAGAATGCGAGCCGGAGCGAGGAGCAGACCCAGAGGGAAGGGGGCGGGGGAGGCTGGGAGCCACCCGCCGCAGAACCGGCCCCCTTTCGCCTCCTCCGCCCGCGCCCCCTGCGCGCAGAGCCGCGGGCACAGGCGCACGCCGATGTTGGTGCGCACACGTGCGCGCCCGCACACGCAGCGGCGGCAGCAGCAACACCAGGGCACGCTGCACCCCCGCCCCGCACACCTGGGCACGGCAGGCGGGGCTGCGCTGCCGGACCCCACCACACCCGCGGCTCTCGCATCCCCAGACTGTCCCCGTGGGCCTGATACCCCCGCACACGCCTTCAGGACTCTGGGCGTTAAGGATCATCTTTAGGGAGCCAGCAAATGCAGGGTCGGGGAGCCCCATGCCGGACGGGGTGTACTAGTCTGCTCCCACAAGCAGCAGGGCAGGGGGAGAGATCGCACCAGGAGAGCTGCTGGATTACCCACCACTCCTGGGGAGCATCTCCCCATCTGCCCTCCAGGGCTTCTCTCCTATGGCTGGGGTCACTCCCTTCCAGCCCTTATCCTTCCACCTTCTTGCACCCCCAAAAAGCTGCACCCGGCCTCTGAATTCACCACGTGCCCATCAAATCTCACTGAGAAGGATAGCAGTGCCCACACCTCAGGTTCACTGCTCAACCAGGGCTTGATCGGCTTGATCTGCTGCCTTCTATAGGGTTTTTTTGTTGTTGTTTGTTTGGGTTTTTTTCTCTGGTTGGTTTGGTTTTGGTGGGTTTTGGTTTTGGTGGGTTTTATGTTTGGTTTTGGGTTTTCTTTTCTTTTCTAAGTTGTCCTTCCCTTGGCAGAGCCACAGCGGGCCATCACGAGCAGACCCAGCACCTCACACACCAAGTGTGCCAATGCCAGGGGCTGTAGCCCCGGAATCCTCCCCACACCAGGGCACTCCAGAGAGCATTGCCTTCTCCAGCCCAAAGTTCCCCCAAGCTGGGCTGCGTGCGAGGCCTCTTTTCCTGGGAGGCATGGATGGGATCTTCCCAGTCTTTCTGGCTTTGCCTTCCCCTCCCTGTCCCTTCCACACAGGAAAAGAGCTACCAGCCTTTGCAATGCTGCAGGAGGGTTTCCTGGGGCCGCTGGAGCTGTCTGCCCCAAGGGAGGCTCTGTCCCATCTGCCCCCTGGCTTTAATGTCCTTCCCAGGGAATTACCCAGACTGTTCCCATCTAAGGATCTGGCGGGGCAGCAGTTTTTTCTCCTCGACAACAGCTGATATAAAGCTGCAGTGTGACAGGAAAGCAAAGTCCAAATTGCTGGGGGCTTTGGTTTGGGGTTTTTTGCTTTCTTTTGGGTTTTTGTTGTTTGTTTGTTTGTTTTTATGTTGGGTTTTGATTGTTTGGGTTTTGTTGGTAGAGGCTAAGAGCATGGAAAAAGGGGTAGTTTTTGTTCTGGGCATGCCTGGAGGTGCCCCAAGTAGGCTGTGTTTCAAGCTCAACAGGCTGGTTTTTACCCAATAACTCTCAGTGATTCTCTCCAACTGAAGAACTCCATCTCTCCATCTCCTCTCTGTTCTACATCTTTTAAGGGGGCGAGTCCCATCTGCTTCAAACAATACAGCTAGGCTAGGAAATATTAAGGCTCCACCAAAATCTGTGCTTTAAGTTTCTGTGTAAGTGGTAAAAAGGAAACTCTCAACTTTTACCCACATTCAAAGGAGAATGCAAGTCCTGAGCAGGGGCTTTTTTGATTGCAGATGCTCCCCACAGTAATCCCTGACTTCATGCTCCCTAGATCAGGTAGTCAACAGAACAGATCCCCATGTATGATATTTATTTGCCTGTTTTGCCCTAACTCTGTGAATTGGGAGCATCTCTCCTTTTTTTTGAGACTTACTGTTTCCCCTGTTCCAGGGAAAACTTTTCAGAGGCAGGAAGAGAGACGCCTGAAGGATGTCACATGCAGAGGAGGCATTTGTTGCAGCACCAGCTGACAAGCACATCTCTTGCCACAAGGGTACAGAGAAGGAGGGCTTGCTTCTCCATTAATCAGAGTTAATTTATTTTTGATGTTTTGGGGCCTCCCAGGAGTAATACCTATAGTTCCAGGCTTAGTTTCTAGTTAGTAGCTCAGTGACCTCATTAAATAGGTCCATCCCAATTTCAAGATGATGTCCCTGCAGCCCTGCCTGGGGATCCCTGGTGGCTGCCTCCGTTCCCTGGAGTAGGTGCAAGGAGGAGCATTGCTGGTTTACAGCTGTGACAGAATTGATGGCACAGGGACCACAAGCCCTCACTTGGGAAGAAAGTCCTTTCCCAGTACCCAAGGTGTGGTGGACAATGGAGGAGCAAAGGTACTGCAGTCTGAGGTGTTCAGTAACCACTTTTTACTGAAGTGGCTATACCTTGGCCTGGAGAAGATGGCTCAAGCAATAGCAACCAATAACTGGATAGGGGTCTTATCTGGAAAACATGCTTTCAAATCTTTCCATATTCAATTATGTGTAGGGAAGGGCATCCAAGGATGTTTCATGCGTCTGCATCACTGAGCTTTCTCAGAAATCCAATATACTCCGAGAAATGTCTTTTTTGTCTGGGCCATCCCCAATACCACCACACTGGATTTTCCCTACTCAGAAGCAAGTCTGTCCAAGAACTCTTCATTTTTCTCCTTATGAGATAAACAGAATTATTATCCCAGCTTAAAAAATTTCAAATTTGACATGGAGATAAAGGATTGAGGTAATTCAGAGTTTTGGGATTAGAAAGTGCAAATTACCTGGGTTTCTTCCAAAAGCAGTTGTTTTGTTTCCCTGATAGAACCTGGCTGGAAAGGTATTTCCCATCTCTCTGAAAAGTCTGCGACTTAGAAGTATCTGTAATGTAAGTCTAACACTTTGTTACCTTTAGTGTCCTAAAAACCACTCCATACCTCTCATACACTCATCTGAAGCAAGCATCAATTTCCAATTTTCATATTTGGACAGAAATATCAAGTGTCAAAGAGTCTGCATTGGAAAGTGCCTTTAGCAGCCTAACAGGTGTCACCTTAGTTTTTCAGGTAAGTTCAAGAAATCTCATCTCTAAATTAGATACTCCTAATAGATGATTATAAAATCTAGGGCAACATTTTAAAAGTTTTTGTGTGACTTGTGCATTGGTGAATTTGACTTTAGTGTATTTTGTTGCCCAAGCATCTGGAGTTGCACTAAAACAATCCCAGAACAAATTCAGTTGTAAAAGACCTCTCAGGTCATTGAGTCTAAACCTTTACTTTTCACCAGCTTGTGAACTAGACCATGGAATTAAGTGCCATGTTCAGTTATTTCTTGAGCACCTCCAAAGATGATGATCCTGATGATCACCATCTGCCTGGGTAGTCCATTCCAATGTTTAACAGCCCTTCCATTAAGAAATTTGGACTAATGTTCAATCTAGTCAAAACTGGCTCTAAGTTGTATAAACCAGTTCAAACTGGATCCAGCTGGTTCAACTGGATCAAACCAGTTGCAACCACTTCAAACCAATTTTAAACAATTCAAACAGGATTAAACTGATTCCAATAATTTCAAACCTGATTCAACTGGATCAAACCAGTTCCAGCTGGTTTAAACCAGATCAAACTTGTTCCACCTGGTTCAAACCAGTTTCCAGTGGTTCAAGGACCCCAGCCCCCACTGCAAAGAGTTTCAAAATTTGATTGATGACTTTGGAGTGGAGATACTCGGGTCCCCTGTGTTATGTGCGATGTCAGCAATGCTGGTTTGAACAAGAAGAAGAATCTCTTTTGTGCATTGATAATTAGCTGTAAGAATTTGCTAACCAGTCCTCTCCCTGAGCCTTGTGTTCCTTGGCAAGTACTGTCAGCTCTGGCCAACTGAGCCGAGGACTCATTTTCCACACAAATGGCAGTAAGGGATGTGGATTCAGGCTACCCACCAGGTGATGACGATAGCCGAGATGCTCTCAGCTACTGCCCCACCCCTAACACAGCATGGCATGGTTGAGAGAGGGCTGTATTTCGCATGTTCCTGCTCGAGCTGTTTGCAGTTCAGGGGAGCATGTGGCACACACACCTGCTTTTGGCTGTGCCATTCCCTCAGGCTCTGCCATGCTGCTCTTATTTTATGACAGAGCCCAGCACAGCGCAATCCAAAAAGCAGGTGTGTGACAAACCTCTCACTTCACTGACACGCCTGCCATCAAGCTATCAAGTACTGCAGTTTGCTCGCATAGTTCAGATAGGCAATTACCTCCTCTGTGGTTGCTGTGTGTGATACTGGGGATCAGCAAATGAAGCAACCCTCCTGATATCTCACATTTCAAAAGCAACACAGCCTCATTTCCAGTAAAAACTTATGAGTGGTTTTTCTCACGCTGAGAATGACTATTTGCAGTGGAGCTGTGGTCCAAGGAAAATTTCTTTCATATCTATTGAAATTTAATAAAACAACTGTGTTTCATCTTCCAAAATCACTACTTTGTCTGCTTATTTATGGAAACAGATTTTTTCAAGTTCATTCTTACTTATGCACTATTGTAGTGTGCTAAATTTTCAGTCTTGGCGTTATACTAGCAAGTCCATGGATCAGCATATATGTTAATAGTGCACACTTAAACTGTTTAAACAGTGTTTCACCTCATAACAAACCATACTACAGAACTGTGCTGAATCACCTGGAAGACCATATGATATCCTGCTCCTGATACATTTTGAGGTGCACAGCTCTCAATTGTTTAATAAATTTATTAACAATTAACAACTTTGTTGTATACTCACCATTGTTTTGAACAGCTTGGCTTTCATAACATCTGAAGAGGACCTTTTTAAACTAATTATACCAAAGGGAGGACCAAATTCTGTCCCTATACATATGCTGGATACTGTGCATATTATCCTGTTGTATCCTACAGTGCATAACATCCTGTTGTCATTTGTGTAAGAGAATACTGCTGGAGCTGGGGACTTATATGCCCAGGCAATAAAGGTAAAAACTTCAAAGGTGTTTAAGCCTTAATTTCAGGGACATCATATTTTTGTATGGCAATGGGACTTAAGCCCCTTGCCCATTTTTCAAATGTGTGTCCTCCAGCTACTACCAAATAATGCAGCCAAAGAGCTTTTCCTTTCATTTAAGTGGTTTGTAAACAGATCACAATTTTCTTATTTATTCTCTCTTCTCTTTTTTTTTTTTTTTGGTGAATATATTCTCTGAGCAGCTCCTGAGCTGTAGCTTATTCGTGAGCATTTGAAGCTCGGTATCCAAACTATGTTACTTATTCCAATTGCATGGTACACAATTAAATTAAAAAAAAAAAGAAAAAAAAAAGAAAAAAAAAAAGGAGAGAAAAAGCGTAATCATTTCAGTCTCTATCTGCCTGAAAAATCACTGCAAAAGTACCAAGGGTGAGACCTGCTGTCAATCCGTATTTGTCGGGACCTGGAGCGAGCGCTGTCCCGGCCGTTCCTACGGCGATTGCGGTGCCTCCCAGCAGAGGGAGATGCGAGACGCCGGCTCCGGCCCCGGCTCGCAGCTCCCGCCGTCTCTGCAACAGATCGATGGGTAGTGAATGTTTTAGGAACATGTCCGAGTCCCATGGCTTCTCATTATCTAAGCATTTTATCGGACAACAAACCTCTTTTAGGCCCGTCTCTGATAGTGCAGAATTCTACACCACGTTTCCTCAGTTTTTCCCTTTGGCTGAGGTGAAGGACATGAATAACTTGAAATATTTCAGTCTGTTGAGCAACAGTTTTATATTCTTCTCTCCCTCTCCACTCAGTATGTATTTTTGTAGCATTGTGACTACATATCTACCTTTGAGTTGAATATTAATGTGACTGAGGGGTGTCAGTCTCTGCCCCAAGATCATCTGATTCCAGCTGACATGAGTTTCTCTTCTATTTACCAAGTACTAATTTCTGATTGTCCCTTTCAGGGTACAATGCCTTGAAATTTCTTTACAAGTGTCCCAAGAACCCTCCCTCTGACGTTTCAATACCACCTCACTGCCCACCTCTGCTTTTGTGGTTTTTTTCCTGCCTTCGCTACAATGAGAAAATAACATAATTGCTTTTAGGATCCTTGTTTCAAATTCTCTCTGTAGATGTATATTCTGGGTTGCTCTTACCATGTGTGTATTTTATAGATTTTCTTCTCTGATGCACTTGGCAGAAAGCAGCATTAGAAAGAATTATAATTACAGTATTTATTAAACCACCTATTAGGGGAGGAAACTGACAGCATGAAAAAAGAAATATTTAAGAAGAATAATAAAACACACTGGCAAAATATGTTTAGAAAGATGCAGGTTCTATGAAGAAATCCAATTTCCAAGAAAATTAGCTGTTAACATAGTATTTTGGTGCTCTACAATATTATCAACTTGCATACAGACTCGTGTAGCATTCATTTATCTTCTAGATAAAAAAGGCATAATTTTAATTGTTACAGATTTTCTGTATAGTTCAATATATTGGCAGTTTCATGCATATACTGTTTTGTTAAAACTGATGACATTCAGCAAACTGTGGGAGTTTGAATACAGGGCAGCATCCCTGGCCTTCCCATTTCCATCTACTTTGTGAGGAAAAGCAGCTACAACAAAAACAAAGAGCCTCACTTTGTGTGTTTGGTTTTGTGGTTTTGTGGGTTTTGGGTTTTTTTCCTTTTTCATTTTGAATCCTGCCAAACTACTCTGTTGCACAGTGGGTTTGAAATGCAACTCTCCCCAGTAGCTCCCCTACTGTACCTTCCCAGAATGCATGAATGCATTTACTCCTGCCAACATGTAACCCGATAATCTTTTTTTTTAATCAACAGAAAGAAGCTTTCGGAGGAAAACCCTCAATTTTGTGACCAGTGTGTGACAGTAAGAGGAAATCTGTTGCAGTTGCCTGTAATGGAAGCCCAGTTGTGTGTTTTCAGTCTTTTTTCAGCTGGCCTCTTAGTGGCAGGGCAATTAGAGCTCAAATATACAGGGAAAACTTATCCCAGTCCAGTAATCAAAGCAAACATTATATAGATTTTGATTGCTCCAACAAGAATGAAGTCTTTGTTAACTGAAGTAGCTTTATTGATTCAAATGAGGAGATGTATTTATTCTGTTTTGTGAAGTGCTCCAATCTGTGTGTGCATTTAATGCTTACGAATTCAGAGATGAAGGACTGAAAAAGTTCTATGTCAAACTGTAGAAGAGGAATTGTTTCATTCCTAGAATATTTATTCTAATGTTCTTTTCTAAAGGCTGTTTTAATACTTGTAGTTATCATTATCATCTTATAAAAGTCCTTAATGTTTCACAAATGGCATGATTTGTTTAAGTCACATAATTAACAACATTCTTGACTGTTTAGCAATAATTAGTTTGTTCTGGGTCTGCTCTTATTTCCAATAAAGTTCTGCAAAGATTTACAGAAACCAGCTCAGGCCCTTTGGGAACAAGTTCTCTATGTGAAGAACTTTGTACTCTTTCATCAATAGGACTCTACTGTATTGAAAATAACAAGAGCCTTATTTTGGTCAGAGAGCATTGCAGGTTATCTGTAGCTGTCTTCTTCATTACCACTTCAATTTGAGACCTACATTTTTATTCATTGTTTCTCTTATGAGTAACATTCTGAAAAGTAATATCAAATAAATGGACCTGTGGCTGTGGCCCACACAATGTTTTCTTTTATTAGATGTCTCAGTTGTTCTCTGTTTGAGGATGATTAAAGTGTCTTGAACAGAGTTTCATAGTTACATAGTTCATAGTTCATTTTATTCCATGTGCATTCACAAATTAGTTGATGGTAATCTATTAATAAAAACTTAATATTTTGCATTATTCTCTATAGAATGTTGCAGAGTTTCTCTCTCTCTTTCTTCCCCCCCCCCCTTTTTTTTTTCTTTTAGCTGGAACTACTCACAGGCTGCCTTCAGAGTATGATAAGAAAGATACAGATTACAATACCGGTTTGATAATGGCCAAGACTTTTCCTTCCTCTCTGAGTAACATAAACTCTAAAATGAGAAGTGATACTTTACCTTCATAAGTAACAATTAGCCATTATTTAGTCTTGAAATTACTAAAACCAGTTCTAAAATGGAACAGTGATTTACCACTGAAAACCAGTAACGTGTAGACTGTTTTCTTGGTCCCAACAAATCAGTACCAGCAATCATGTTATCTGCAGGATTAACATCCCTAAAAGCTCCTCCCTCTCCAGACCACAGGAGATAAAGGAAAGAACTCAATTTTTACAATGTTAGACCACAACAGACATGCCTGGGGACTCATTGATTTCCCTGGAGTCAAATTGTTCCAAGTAACAATACCAGCTCACTTAATAAACCCTTTGAAAAGCAACTTTTAAGGATAAAGTGACCAAGATGGAAGGCATAGGCTGGAAGAGAGGAGACACAGGAGTGGGACAAGACAGCACATTACCAGACAGTCTCAACATTCCCAGGGAGTGCCAGTAAGTTCATTAATGACTGGGGACCTCTGATGCTTTCTGCCAGCTCCACATGTTCTCAAATGTGTCCTGGAAGAGGAAGGCCTAAACTGGAACTACGAAGGAGTAGAATTCTGGAGGCTGCTGGTTGACTTTTTATCCTTTTAATTTTTAGCAGCTAAGGAAGATTTGGTTACTTTATAGGAAAAATGAAGAACTAATCACAGTTTACAAGGATGTGCATGTGGGAGGACTGCAGGGGATGGAACACTGCAAAAGTAACAGGACATAATACATAAGCAGCAAGATCCTGTTTCTTAGAAGACTCAGATAAACAATATGATCATAACTAGGGCAAGATTCACAGTTATAAGTCAAGAAAATATTTTGTGATTCTTGTTTCTCCCCACACCTCTAGCATTTCAGAGATTGTTAAAGTTCCAAAATTCCTGCAGGAGCACAGAACAAAGTAGCTCACACCTATTTAGCCATTTTCCCTCCTTTATTGTTGTTTTTCCTTCAGTTGGTTTCTTTGTTTTGTTTGGCTTTCTTTTTGTTTGCTCGTTTTTGTTTTAGGTTCACTTTTTATCTCCCCAAAAGGAATTTATTTTTCATTTAAATTTACTTTTATTCCACACATGCCTTCGATCTTTCTCTGCAAAGAAAATAATTCTCACAATGATGCCAGGATATCACTAGTTTGTACAGTAGTACGTTCTGTAAGCTGAGCTACCTTTGAATATGTGGTGGAAAGTAATTCTGTCACATTTTTTAGCTAGCCAGATCTCTGTGCATGGTGGAACTCTTAAAAAAAAAAAAAAAAGTTCAGAGCATGCAAAGGAGACACTGTGTAGTCTTACCCCATTCTGGCTTGGATTCAGACCTTTTGTTACCCTTTTAAGGACATTCTTCTGCCCTAGGAGTGCCATGTGTCCATAATGTTTACAAGAGAATTAAGATTACCAGTGATAGTGGTCTTAGGATCAAGAGGCAAGTCTACATTCAGTACCGTGTTTACACTCCCGGCTGGTTTTCCCAGAAGAAGTACACACATCAACATTTCCATAATGTATGAGTACGATCTGTTTATTCCTTACCACAGCTTCAGCATTAATCATTTGTTCTTCTCCAAACCACCAGTAAAACTCCGTGCTGTGGAAAAGTACTGAACAATGTGTAGTGCCTTGGATCAGGACCAGGCTCAGACCAAGTCCAGATTTAACAATCCAGTTTTGCACATGGTCACTACACTGCATTTCAGCTCTCTGCTTCCAGATAAAGGAATTCCTTCCGTTTTCAATTCAGCTGTGCCCAGCTCTCAACCAGTAATTTCGGAGAATAGATTTTTTACATCCAAATGTAACCAAATACAAATTTTTGAGAATAGGAGATCGCCTATGTGGCACTTTTTGCCAAAATTGTAAGAAAAAAGTTGTAAGCCATGAAGATCCCAAACATTGTGCAGTGCTGTGGAAAGCTGCAAGGCCAAAGCTGATGGCATTTTCTTGGGTATTGGATTGGTGTCACAATTACTCTCCGCTGATGAGTGGCATATTTAAGAAACCTGTGTCAGTCTGGGGATTATGATAGACAGAAAAAGACATTTTTAGATCACTGCATCTAGTGGATTCATTTGGAAGCACTGATAAATAGACACAGCTGGTGGCAGAACTAGCAGCTGAGCTGTCTTTTATTTCCTGTCTCCTATGAAGTATTAATATCAGGTGAATTTATTGGTCTTAAGACAAAAGCAACAGGATGAGAAAATAACAAAGAATAGAACTAATATCTGTCTAGAGTTGCCGAAACTCCACAAAAAAACATGAGTAGTCTTCTCTTAGGTTTGTCTGCTACTGCTTTCCTGACAACTTCAGCAAATAGCACTGTGTGAGCTCACTCCTTTCACAGCTACTGAAGTGCTACAGTACCTTTTATAGCTACTAAAGATTGTGTGTTCATTAGCAGATTGGCCCTGCAACTACACAGCCATTGCTGCAAATCACTGTGGGTGGGTGCGTTTCTTCAAACACAGGGCCACAATATTCAGAATGGTTTTCACCTCTCACTGTAACACTTTTCATCTGGACCACCTAAGTCCCTCTGGTTTTCCATTCAGAGGTCTGCAGAGATGCTGTTCTCCCCACGTACAGTATTTATGTCCTTCCACCCTTAACCCCAACAGAATCAGTGCTAAAGGTGAACATTAAACCAGAGAGTGATTCCTTTAATTACATCTGCTACTGACACAAATGTTCTTTATATCCAGAATCTCCTGTAGTCCTCTTATGAACTACCATGTACCTCTGTCAGGAAAGCAAATGTTCACAGGCTTAAGGAATTCCATACTCATTTTATTGATGGTAATTCTCTTAGTTGCGCACTCTGAGGCTCTTTCTGGAGCATGGACTGGCTTGGCTAATGGATTCTGCAAACAGACCATACATTCAGGAGGAATTCTCCAGAGAACTGAAAAATGAGCCCTTACCCTTACATAGACATTAGGAAAGAACAAAGCAAAGGAGCCCACCAGAACTTAATACAACAATATTTGTAAAGTGTGGTTCAGCCTGGATGGTGGAATATCTGGAAACCTTGCTTAAATATTTGCAATCCAGTCTAGTGTCAGACAAGTTCACTGTGAGTACCTAAACCATTTGTAGACGGCAGCTGCCACAGACTGAGACACTGACACAGAGGATTGCTGAACTACCTCACTGCAGAAACCATTGCCAGCTGATGGCAAAGGAAACTACCCAGTTCTGCAAATCCCAGTACACACCAAAAACGGTGGCAATTTATTTTCATATAGATTACAGAGTAGGATCTGATGAACCCATATAAAATATCTCTGGGGCAAGCCCAGTTTCTATTAGAGGGGAGTTCACACCAAAATTCTTGCTACAGTTACAACCAAAATGTTGTGCGTTGCCTCCAGAGAAAGCCAAGGGACAGAAGTATCTGTTGTCTGCTGTAAAGCGTCAGTAGGCAAAGAGGATTAACAATGTCAAAAGTTTGGAAATTTAAGGATTAACATTTTTGGTCTAAAGCCACAAGGTTTTGTGCATCTGGGTTCCTCAGGTCATTCTTAGTCTGGATGTGTCTTAGCCAGCCATTTAAACTGAACTCATCCCATGAAAACACAGAAAGGTTGGAAGTTGATCTCACTGCCTAAAGGAGTGATAAGTCAGCGCATGCCTCAAGCTCATGTTAGGAATGGTAATTAAAATCTAATTCTAATTAGCAGCACTGGATGCTAATCCAAATAAACAACAAGAAAATTTGTTGTGCAAATTTTTTGTGCTGCAGAAGTAGACACTTAGTAGATAATGTGCAAGTCACTCACTGTTACAGCAGCAAATAGACTAGACTGAAAATACATCAAAAACACACTTAAGATTTCTTCTGCCAAAGGAATTGTTGTCAGATCAGACATTAAGGCTGATGCTGAGGCCAGGGCGGCCTCTTTAGGCCTTAGTGTCTGGTCTGATCTCTGGTTAATTAGGGCTGAGAAGTTGAAAAGTTTGCAGCTCTGTTATTCTTTACCTGCTCTGAGGAGTTAAATTAGGAGAAACCTCAGGCTGTCAGTTTTCTATCTCTAATAATCATCCAATGAAAAATAGAGAGAGGCTGAAAGCCTACAGCTGTCAGCTCAGACTTGTTACTCTGGGTCAGGTCATCTGGAGAGCCAAAAGAAGTGAGGATCCAGGAGCTCTAACCATTAAAGTTAAATTGTTTTTTATCTAACTATTCTTATTGTGTCCCAAATAAGGCAATTATAGGGCTCTTCATTTGGTCTTCAATTTACTATCATAGCCCTTATAAATGTTTTCATTAATTTGAGCAGCACAGCTCCTGATCCTGTATCTACCCAAGCAGGCAGTTCAGAAATGTGACTAGTGCTATTACTATTCATGTGTGTACATCCTGCAAT